GTCAAAGCTACCCCTCCACCCTCCACCTTTGCCCTTTGAGCCACCTGCCTACTCTTGGTCACCACTGGCCACCTTCCCTACTCTACAAAATGGGGATGCCAACCCTTGGGATTGTGCCTCTGATTTTGTACAGCAGGACTGTCCCACACCAAGAGGTGCACCAGCCAAACCCAATCACATCCACCAATTTCCACCACATCCTGCCTATCAATTATACTTCTTCAGCCCCCTGCGTAGGCTTGGTCACCACTGGCCACCTTCCCTACTCTACAAAATGGGGTGGCCCAACCCTTGGGCGTGCGTCTCTGATTTTGTACAGCAGGCCTGTCCCACACAAGCAAACACACCAGCAAGACCCAGTCACATCCACCAAGTTCCACCACATCCTGCCTATCAAAGATATCTCTCCACCCTCCACCTTTGCCCTTTGAGCCACCTGCCTAGTCTTGGTCACCACTGGCCACCTTCCCTACTCTACAAAATGGGCGGGGCCCGATGGGCGTACCCTGCCTGACTGGCTCGTCGTCCCTGACAGCGCGCAGCCCAATGCCTGGCGACTCCTCCACTATGCTGGTAAGGGGGGGCTCGCTTTAGCGTAGGAAGCACTAGTCGCTACCCACCAGGGCAAGAAGCCGATGCCGCACATAAGGCAAAAGAATACCAGTTCGAAGCTCTGCACAAGATTTACTTTTATGACGCATGGAGGAGCCAACCAGAGCTTGGCACCAGGGGATCTGACTTAATTACACCTTCCCCCCCAACCTGGACTTCTGCAAGCAGGCTGTTACTGGCCACACCAAAGCCCTGCCCCTGCCATCGATGTCAGCTCGGGTTGCTCCGAGACTGCAGCACGAGAACAGGAAGAGACAGGTATGCCAGAGAAAGACTCTGAGGATAGGGCCGACGAAGCACAACACGTGCAGACCCCGTCATCAGCAGAAGCCGACGCTGAAGCAGATGCCTGGGATTGTGCCTCTGATTTTGTGCAGTAGGCCTGTCCCACACCAGCACGTGCACCAGCCCACATCCTGCCTATCAAAGATACCTCACCGCCCTCCACCTTTGCCCTTTCAGCCCCCTGCCTAGGCTAGATCTCCGGACGCAGGATTGTTAGAATATCCATCCATTATGATTCCCTACAAAATGAAGGACCTCCCCTACCAAATAAGTACACCCAACCCACAAATCGTGCATTC